CTGCTGGGGTTTAAAAAAAAAACTTTTCTGGGAAATTTTCCCCAGCTGAAAATTTCTTTACTGATTTAACTGACCTGGTTATTTCTTTTGTTATTCATTTTATTTACTCCTATATTACATACCTCACCATTACATTTTATTTAACAGTCTTTCTGTGAGTAGTAGGCCTCAGTCTTCAATTTCACTGGCCTATAATACCTTTCTTTATATTTAATGTTACTAAAGTTCATTAAATTTCCAAATGAATCTCCTTTGTAACATCTCTATGTCTTTTTCTAACAAATATAGTCATTTTCCAAAATGGTAGCATGAAGTATCATTTACATATAATATTATTCAACAATTCTGTGATGCAAACATTTCATCAGCCTCCATAAATAGTGTATGATTTTTAAAAGTTAAAAAGAGGATGTCACCACTAAAACAGCAACACTGACCTCTATCAACCAAGCTTCCTGGGCAAGGATCCAAAAAGTCTAGGGACATTCTATCTAATAATACTGGCCTAATCAGAGATATCTGCACAAGAAAAGGAAATTCTATTTAGTGTCTGGTTAACACTAGTCCAATTAATGATATCAATTCTGTTTGTGAGAACAAAGAAGAACCTGGAGAGGAGGTGAGATAGGGAGGCACAAGGGGGCTGTGGAGGGGTCACCTTCCAACAAGGCTGTCACTCCATCCTCCCTCTTATCTGTCTACACTGGAGAAAGATAGGAAAGTAGTGAAGAGCCTGATACAGGACATTCACTATAAAGCTGTTGAGGCGTAGAGGAGTCCGTGAAATATCCAGCAGCAAAAACACAAGCTGAGAGAGAGAACGGGCTATTACATCCTCATATTTCCACTCAGAGATTTTCAGACAAGAAACTATTTAAGCCAAGTTGACTGTATTATTTTTTTACAGGATGAAGAAAAAAAACAAACAAACAAAAATACACACATATATATATATATATATATATATATATATAGTGTCAACTGGTTTTTATACCGTTTTCAAAATGGAGGCATAGCTCCCCCAAATGCAAACACTCCAAATGCAAACCATTTTTAGTCTTGAGGGTAATGGATGTGGAAGTATAATAGCTCCCATGGTCAGGGAATAACTGATAAAACTGAACACTGCAGTTTATCCCTGGCCCTGGGAGCAGTCTGTCTGCTCCAAGTGCCAGCATTAAGAAGATACATCGTCTGGAGATTTTAACAGAAACAATAACAAAACCAACTAAAAGTCTTTTACGTAAGCTGTCCATTATGTAGGATGGGCAATTCTAAATATCTGGGATAAAATATTCCTATCTGAAGAGATCTTCTATTGGTTGGTTTAAGTTCTGTGGTCATTGTTGAAATTTAATACTAGAGATGAAAGCTTTAAATTAAAACACTTTTCTTTCTTATCCTCTTATAAACATCGAGAGTTAATTGGGAAAATCCCCATTACACAGTCATCCCTCAAAAAACAGGGACTCAACTACACAGGTTGTTTGAGAGAGTCCCTAATGTTCTGAGCTCTGTGAGCTTGCTTTATTCAGAGCTCACGTCACTCATCTCCGTGCTCTTGCCTTTTCTTGCACATGAACAGGAGATTAAAATTGAACTCTGCAGGCACAGTGAGCAACCAAGCAAAGAAATATAACTTGAGTTACTTCAATTC